AGATTCCATTTTACTCCCTCTTTTCAGGATACAAAAGAGTCTTGAGGTTGTTTACATATCATGGGAGAAAATTAAAAACAATATAAAGATACAGTCAAGGTGAGGTGAAAGAAGTCTACATCTACATCCAGGCTGCCTTCTGATAGCCGGTTTGTGCAAGTTAAACAAGTTTGTTTGACTAAAGCAGAAAAGTAACTAGAGGATCAGTTGCAATGAAGATAATTATTCAAAGAGCATTTTTATTGTCCCCTTCTGAATTAATAAAATGAAAAGGAAAAATTGTCCTTTTTTCTATAGGGACTTTTTTTTTCAAGATTTTATTTATTTGACAGAGCATGCATGCACAAGCAGGGGGAGCGGCAGGCAGAGGGAGAAGGAAAAGCAGGCTCCCCACTGAGCAGAGAGCCCAACATGGGGCTCCATCTCAGGACCCTGGGATCATGACCTGAGCCGAAGGCAGACACCTAACTGACTGAGCCACCCGGCGCCCCTCTATAGAGACTTTAGATGAGCTTTTAAAAAAATGGATGAGCTAAAATCAACAGTTATGATGGACCTAAAATTAAAGAATTAGGAAGAACAAAAAAAGCCATGTTTTTCATGTGCCTTGTTTTGAAGGAACAAATTACCTGCAAAAGACCTGATTAATGTGATTCAAAATACATGTACTAGAAGATTCACAGAATGCCTTAAGTCACTGGTGCATTTAAAGTGTTTTACTTATGTTTATTCCAAAACCTTTCACTGCTGTAATTGAGATCTAGCTTTATCTACTGCTGAAATTGAGATGTAGCTTTATCTGCTTGTGAAAAATAAAAGTGCAGCTTAATGATTCAGTAAACTTGTGCTGAAAACCATCTGAGTCCTGGCCTCGGGGGGTAGAAAAACAATGAAGACCCTGCCACAGAAGAGCTTATGAGCCCCTCCCCGCCCCCCGTACACACAGGTGACTTGCAAATAAATATGCACAACTTGTGGTTGAGGCTCCTTAGGAGTTCACACTAGGAGTGTGAACAGGGTTTGTTCCAGGGCAAAAGAGGGGTGTGATTAATCCTGGGCTCTGGGTTAGAAGGCGGGAAGGCTTTGGAGAAGAGGTAGATGCATGCCGAGGATGAGCGGATTTAAGATGATTACAATGAGACAGTGCCGGTAGGCTTATAGGTCCTCGTGTAATTGTCGGGGAGGAAGACCTTCCTCTGCCCTGTGGTCCTTCTAGGTGGACTTAGAATCGAATTGCCATGAGACAGATTAACAGGAGAAAACCAAATTTAATAGGTGTATGTATGGGGACTCCACACACACACACATGAGATTCCAAAGATAGTGCGTCAACGGGAAGCTTACCTGAGCTAAAGAGGGCGAGAGGGGTTGAGGATTCAAGAAAAAGGCTGTTGGCAAGAAGGTGAAAGGAGGTGCCCTATTATGCAGATCAGTTTCTTAGGTAAAGGGGAGTCTATTTAGAGCTCTCTTCCTGGAACTGGCTCTCCTTTTCAATGCAAATTTAGGTCTTTGAGAGCCAGGCAGATAGCTTTTCCTGCATCTGCTGGGTTGTGATTACTTTTAACTTAATCTTTATGCCAAAGTGGCCCTTCTAGGGGCAGCCTGCCCTTGGTCCTTACCTAATCATTTAATAATTTATATGTATAGGTATTTTGTAAGTTCTTAGGAACTTTTTTTTTAATTTAGATACTACAGCTATCTAACCATATATTTGTTAATAAGGTAGTAATAACTGTTAATAACTGTTAAATACTTAAGTGTTAAGTATTTGAGAATCTGCATTTCTTCCTCTCCTTGGTGGTAAATTTAAAAACTTTCACTTAAATGAATGAAAGAAATCTGACAGTTTTAAATTAGAATGAAATGCTTTTTTCTTTGAAATCTTGGAAATAAACCAAGTGAAGGGCCTTAAAACTGCATATATTTGATACCTAAGATTGTAATTATGCATTCCTTTCTTTGGTTAGTCAACATTAATTCAGAGTACTTAATGATTTGCAACTATTACAGTAAGATTTGTAGTTCATAATTTCATTTACTTTGCTTTTAGATCTTTTTTCAGGTTTTAACTATGAAAGGCTACTCTTTTCTAACTTATTTCTGTTGAATTCCAACCAATTTATAGTGGCAAATGAAAAAATTTAAATAGGCAGTCAGCCCAAATATTTACTTTAAAATAGCTAAATTATGTTTTGTGAAAGGCTTACCCTTTTTTCCCATCTTCTTGCATTTTATTTGGAAATACTTTTTATTTCAGCGAGATACTATGCATATTGAAGAATAATCTTTAGAAGTATGAAAGATGTAGGTATATATTTTCCCTTCAGTGGCTATGAATTAGGTTTTTCTCCTTCAGAGTGATCTAACAGTAGAACTATGTTTTCTCCATCTGTTTTGCCCAATTAAATTCACTACTTACTTTCTCTAGATACCAGAGAGGCCACTTCTAGGCAGCAGGCTTCAGCACTGGAAACGTGAGCAAGGGAAAAGGGCCCACAGGGACCACTGAGCTGAATGCCAACAGGCTCATGAAGCGACCCACCTGGAAATAGCTATAGGCCATCACCTATCAGTGGGGTGTTTACAACCAGGTGAATTCCATATGTTCCCATACCTGCTACTACAGCACCTCACCCCTGCCTAGGCAGACAGTCTCTCCTGGCTGTCCTTCCTGCTCCTGTCTTGCAGTGTATTCAGTAAACTTCTGTTTCCTTCATTCTGCCTTGGGTGATTTTTCTTTCACAACCTGTGCTGCTGGCCCCATCCAGTCGGAACATGCCAGAATTACCACAATCAAAGTAAAAAAAAAAAAAAAAACAACTGCCTTTTAATAACTTGTCTTGTTATTTACCTTCAAAGGCTGCATCCTGACAAGTCTATTAATCAAGCTCAGAGCAGGAAAGGAAAGGGAGAGCCTCTTCTTGGATGGTTCAACTGCTGACTTCAGCTAGGGGGCAGGCAGGTCTCCAAAGAGTGGTAATCAGGTTGAACCAATTAAATTGAAACCTTTAAATGTGAATGTCCCACCCAGGGAACTTAAGCCAAAAGGTAGAAGGTCGTGTGGCTGCAGTACTGTCAACGCAGTGCGTTGTACCTGTGCTGTTGAAGCAATTCCTGCTTATTGGCCAGAGAATGGGGACTCCTCTTTTAACCCTGCATAGATCAAACTGTTGGTTTAGGGTTTTGTTTTGTTTTTTTGGCACTGATAGACTTTATTAATAAAAAATTGAGCAAATATTTAAACATATATTACACGTATAGCATGGTATAGTTTTCTGGGGAAGAGCGTAGAAACCTCAGTCTGCCTCCCTGATCCGCGCAGTGTTATGTCCTCCAGTTACACTTTTCTACAGAGATACCGAGTTGATGTCATTTTCTTTCTTCTGTTGTGAAGATGTTAACGAAGAGTGTTGTGACCAAAAGATCTGTGTGGACATCTAAAAGCATACATCTAAAAACCCTTAGTTAATTCATAATCTTGCATAACCCATGATGACAAGATACTGAGAAACAAAAATGCCCTGAATAGTAAAAAAAAACACTGTTAGCAGTCCTTTCCTTTAAAGTCTTTAAAAATATACTTTTAATTTCTTAATTTTGTGAAATATTTAAGACATAACGGAACTACAGGCTCATAATGAACACCTGTGTACCCACCATCCCGTTTAAGAAATAAAACATGACTGCTGAACGCAGTGAATTGTGCAAGACTCTTGAATCACAGATCTGTACATCTGAAACAAATAATACATTATATGTTTAAAAAAAAAAAGAAGATAGCAGGAGGGGAAGAATGAAGGGGCGGAAATCAGAGGGGGAGATGAACCAGGAGAGACGATGGACTCTGAGAAACAAACTGAGGTTCTAGAGGGGAGGGGGGGTGGGGGATGGGTTAGCCTGGTGATGGGTATTAAAGAGGGCACGTTCTGCGTGGAGCACTGGGTGTTATACGCAAACAATGAATCATGGAACACTACATCAAAAACTAATGATGTAATGTGTGGTGATTGACATAACATAATAATAAAAAAAAAAGACTGCTAGAGTTGGAACCGCCGTGTGCAGCTCACATGTTGCATCCCGGCCGCCCGCCCCAGTCCTGGAAGTCACCTATATCCTGAACTCTCTCTGGTTTGGTTTTTTTTTTTTTTCTAATTTTATTTTTTTAAGGAAGCCCTATGCCCAGCATGGGGCTTGAACTCATGACCCTGAGCTCAAGAGTCATGCGCTCCACCAACTGAGCCAGCCGGGCGCCCCAGTGAACTTTCTCTATTCTTTACAGAGATATAGAGGGTCCTAATCGTGAGCCAGGTTTCCCTGTTACTTACAAAATGAAGTTGTAATCTTCAGTTTGGTATTCAAAAGACTTTTCCCATTCTGGTCCAGATCTCCCTGGGGTCCCTGCTCCAGCTCACCAACCCTGCATGCAGCCGTTTGACTCGAAAGTGCTGGGGGCGCCTCCACAGGCCCCAGACACCTCAGACGCTACCACTCCATTTCTTTGTCCACCTTTTCGTGAATGTCCTTCCTTCATCCCATCTGCCGAAACCACACCTAACGATGCTGCTTCTGCTCTTCAGTCGACAGTTCTCTGATCTAAAATGTGTCGTCTTTTCATAATGTTTGTGTTAACGTCTTCCTGTTAACTGTATTACACGGCTGTCTCTTCCACTACACTGTGGGCTTTTTGAAGGAAGATGTATCTTACAGAAAAAGCTTCAGATCCTATAAGCAGTCAGTAAATAAATGCTTGTTATGTTTTTCTCATGAGGGTGTTGATCATTCTGTTTCACTTTATAACCATTAACCTGCCCTCCACTTAGCTACTTTATACACATGTGCCATTTATGGTCTCTGATGCTGCTAAGAGAAATCTAACTTTTGTTAATCATGGGTGGAAATAGTCATGACTTTGTCGATTTTTTGACAGTGTCCTATTTTGTTTGTTACAGTAGTGCATGTTTTGAAATATTAATGTTTCCTTTTGTTTTATCTTTTAGATATTGCTATATGGAGATTTGCCAAAAAATAAAGAAAATATAATATATTTAGCAAATCATCAAAGCACAGGTTTGTATTTCATTTGCATGAAATTTAGGTTTTCTACAGAAAGTAGATGGGCATTCAAAATCATGTTTTTATTTACTTAAATGAAAATTTTTTTGGTTATTGTTAAAACATGAAATTTTCAATGTAGATATTATATCGTGACCTTGTGTTTTTGTGATTTTACCTTTTTGGAAAGTCAGGCATAGGAAAACTATGAATTTTCCCAAATTTACCTTTCTCCCTCTGATGGGTGTAAATGAGCCATTTTCTTTCATTTATTTTGTTTCTTTGAATAGTTTTTTAAATAAATTATGCATTCTTCCTTTTGTAAGTTCTGTTCCTGGAAGTAAAATTGGGTCAAAGTGTGGACACATTTTACGTTTTTGATTGTTAAGCAGAAAGGTGGTGGTAATAAGTGACTACTCCTTCCCTAAAGGCAGTATTAATTTCTAATGTCTGCAGTTCCTTTGGCCTCATCAAATGTTTTAGTTTAATTATAGTTTGCTGTTCTGTCAGAAGACTCTGGTCTTCAATTATAGTGCAGTATATACTTTAAAGCACTTTAAAAAAAAACTTTATTTTGAAATAATTATAGATTCTCGAGAATTTGCAAAAATAGTATATGGAATCCCGTGACCTCTTAGTCAATTTTACCCCAATGATGACATGTTATATAGCTGTTGTACAGTATCAAACCCCAAGAAATTGACATTGGTTAAGGTACTTTTTAGTTCTACAAATAATTCAGTCCAGAGGAAAATCACACTTCATATCTTTTCAAACCTGTAACTGCTTTTGATGCACATTTCCTAAATTCCATTTTTCTTACTTTAAGAAATGTACTACCCAGAAGTTCAAAGCTAAAAACAACCTGAGGGATTATAGGATACTGGAAAAATCACTTAAGCCTATAGCTGTTCTTTATCTTCCTCCTGTCAACTGTGTCTCTTCATGATTTTGTTGCTTTTACTACTACCTGTACCATGGGTAAGGTAAAGAAAGTCAAAGAAGTTGAAATGCATTTTTCTCGATTTAGCTTATTAATGATTACATTCAGTTTTATGGCACAAGAGTTGATTCTACAAAGGTTGATAGGAATTTTGATGTATCTGTGTATTTCCCTGACTTCATGAATGTAACTGGCTTGGACGATTTAATTACATTTGACTTCAGCAAAACAAGCAGCCTGATTGGGCCAGTGTCTGCTTCCAGCACTGGCCGGTAGAGCAGCCTTTCTTCTGGATTTTGAGTTTCTGCAGACACACTGGGTCTTTACTGCTAACAGAGTCCTGCTGCTTGTCCTGTTGCTGACAGTGTATTTCTACCAGGCTTCCAGTATCCAAATGTAAAGGATTAATGGGTCCAGGGTAGGGAGTGGCTCATGACAACCCAAATTTCCTTTATGTTGACCCATTGGTTCATTTTATTAGTTTTTTTTTTTTTTATGTGTTTAAAGAGGATTCTCTCTTAAAATTCCTTGTTCGGGTTCCCTGCCAACTTTCTTTTTGCCAGGTTTCAGTGTGAAATAGTTGTATTAACAGCTGTGCAACTAGCGTGAACATGTGGAGTAAGTACTCCTCACGTTCCCAGAGGCAGTGGTGGTAACACCAGCAATAAAATGAGAACCGTTGCTGTCACTGGTGTGCTTACTACCTGTTGGCTTTTATATACTTTCCTTCAGAGTGAGGACTTTGCGGGAAACATTTGGAAGAAAACAGTTTTGTTTCCTACTTGTGTGTTTAGAACTAGAAGGTAATATGGGAAGTATGAGTTCCAAAGTCAGCCCACAACTGACTCGAAAAAAGTCCCACTTCTCAGGTCAGAGAGCCATTTCCTCGTGCCTTTATCTGACCCATCAGGGCCTGAGACTTTCTACTACCAGGTCCTGTACCAGTTAGCCTTCGGGATTTGAGAAAGCTACTTTTTTTGAATGCCTTTTAAGAAACTCATAACCTAGGAACATAACTAGATAGTGATTTTTAAATTACTTCAGAATTGCAAGTTTTAGTCAGAATATGATAGATTATGCCCAGGGATATGGGCATACACAAATTTGTGTATAGTTTTAGGTTCCAGAGACCCCTGAAGCTTATCCATGGTCATGGGTCATTGGCCGGTGGGGTCTGAGTACCCTTTTCTTAAGACCCTTCTGAGATATATTAAGAACCACAAATTAGTATCTAAAAATGTAATTAGCAGAAAGAATATTTCAAAGACTGCTATTCAACATAGACTGTCTTGTTTGCCCTCTACTAGGCTTGCCAGAATACAAGTCTCCTCTGGGCCTCACGTTCCAGACAATTGACGTTTTAATTAGTATCTCTTCTCTGGTGTTTTCACTTGATGTGCCCTTGCTGTCTCTCTGTTCTTAGTCTCTTAACTTATTTCTCTGCTGAGACGTTGTAGTGGCTCTTATTCCTTCCTCTTGGCCTTTTTAAATACCTGCTTTTGACACTGTTTACCTTGATCTCAGGAAATGCATCCTTTTCTTGGTTTCAGTGATATTCGCCTCGACTAACAAAATATGTGGTGAGCAGATTATCATAAAAAGGTGTGGGCTTTGCCGTCAGACCCTGGCTCATCTGCTGTTCGGCAGTGGGCTGTGTGACAGTGGGCAAATCACTTAGCTTCTCTTAGCCTTATTCGTAAGTTGTGAGAATGTCTACTGCTCAGAGTTTTTAGGCAATTTCCATAGGCTGGCTCCTAGTCTCTCAGTGTGCCTGGTTTATGGGGGGCATTTAACAGCAGGGGTGGTGGTGGTGATGATGATGGCAGCTAACCAGGAGCAGGCGGTGCTGGGTCCCCGCTAGACAAGTGCTTCCCGCCCAGGATCTCTGTTACACTATGCAGTACCCTTGTGACTTAGGGACTCTTGTTACATAATAACATAGATGAGAAAAGCCTTGCTTTTCTTGCTGGCTCTCCTCTCTTCAGAGGTCACAGGAACAATGACACTGCTATGGCCGTGTGAATAGTTACTGTAAAGGTACATATTCCCATCTCTGCTGTCAGCAACCCAGCTGTAGTCTAGCGTCTCCTAGGAGAAACCTAGTTGAGAATAAACAGGAAAAGTAAAGGTAATTGAGTAGCAAAAATTGATGGCACAAAGTCTGGGTCTTTGAACTAAAGTTAGTTCTTAAGCTTTTCCACTAAAATTTGTGCAAATTTAAGGCCATAGGGCCGGAGAGTTAATACTAACATGACACATTTTACACTTAAAAGTTTTAGAAGATGTACTCTAGGCCATGTGTAGCCCTGTTTGTTTCAATATAAAAATGTGTTATTAAAAATTCTTCCAAACTATAAAAAGATAATTGTTCCAGGAAAAGATACCATATCTTGTTTTTAGCCTTGTACCCCAAATATGTTCCAGATGTACATTTAGTTCTCACAATTTATTTACATTAGGTACAGTTATTATAAGGCGGCTCATTTGGCTTCCAAAACATAATCAGAAAGAGCTGTGTTTGTCAGTATTGTTGAGGTGATTTGAATGAGAAGGAAGGGGCTAGGGAGAAGGGTTCCAGCGGAAGCCACATACTTGAGAGTAAAGAGATAGTGGATCGTTCTGTAGCGTCAGTGTCTCCAGCAGACAGACACAGCTTCTAGGGATCCCTGGTTGTAGGAGAGTATCTGCATCACTCTACTTAAAAGGAGTTGTCATAGAATCAATTTGTGTAATTATAACTTAAGTCATCAAGAAAGAACTTGTGAGTGATAAAGATTAAGAAGAGATTTGCAATAATTGATAACGTGATTTTTCACAAGAATAATTTTTAGTGTTTAACTGGCTAAGTTGTCTTTGGGATAATCTCTCCAGTGTGATGTATTGTCTAAAGGATCTCACACAGCTGTAATCCTGTGGGAAACTGTTCATTTTGGTTTAAAACTACTGTTAACTGCTTTAATTTCCAGGCTTTTATTTGCCATAGATTTTATTTTAACATTTTCCCCTCTAATTCAGTCCTTTTGTTCTGGCTTCTATGGCCCTGGATACACACGTGATAGTAAGACTACATTTTTTTTTCAGAGATTCTTATCATTTTTTTTCCCCAAGGATCCCAAACTCCAGTTCAGTTTTCATTGTTATCAAAGAGATGGAGTAGTTTATAGCCATTTGCTTTCAAACCCAAGTCTCTGGTCTTCAAGACTTTTTACTGTTTTCCTGCTTCATTTTGTTTCATTTCCCCCTGACTCTTTTGACCATCTCCCCTGTTTGCCACCTTCTGCACACGGTTTCTGGTTCTTTGCTTCAGCACGGGCTAGTCCTTCTGTTTGGAATTTCTTCTCTCTTCCCAGAAGTGTTGTTGTTACTATCAACACACTCATGTCTTATTTTTGCTTTTGCGACCCTTTGGCGATAACATCCCCATGTATGCCCGTTACTGGGCCGCTGGGTACCTGTGCTGTGCTTCTGTAAGGGGCATGTATCTGCCCGCACAGCTGTGAGCCTCAGATCTTTGCTCTGACGTCGTAACCTAGGATCGTGTCCTGGAATGCACCAGTAAAGATGAAGTGTCCTTGCCTTGTGTTGAACATATTAGTATATACACAATATATATGGCAGTTTCATTTAACCATTTTTTGCTTATAATTTTATGTTTTTTTAGACTAAGAATTAGAGGCGCTTTATTCTTTGTTCATGCTACTTTTGTATCATACAGCGGTTTGTGACTTTTTGCATTTTACCTCTGAAATACAAAGCCCTTCAAGGAATGCAAAAAGAAAAAAAAAACAAAAAATTTTTATAAATGCAACTTGTAATTTTTAAATGTCTACAGTTGATATAAAGTAATTTTAAAGTTCTCATATTTCCAAAAGTATATTCCTAGTATAATCTTGTGAAGAGGCTTTTTCTGTTTCTGGGAAAGGAATGCCAGAGTTCACATACAGATCATTTATGCGTTAATTGGGTTGTGTCTTTGCAGTTGACTGGATTATTGCTGATATTTTGGCCATCAGGCAGAATGCTCTTGGACATGTACGCTACGTGCTGAAAGATGGGTTAAAGTGGCTTCCGCTGTATGGGTGTTATTTTTCTCAGGTAACTTTTTCCATGTTTTCTTCATTATATATGTAGCTTGTAAAAATTTTAGATTTGGAAATTTAGCATGCACTTAATATAAATGTATAGGTTGTTTTATTTTTATGGGTTTAATAATTTATTCCAAACAGAAGTAATTTTACTTGGGCATTTTTAATGGTGTGCATTTCTGTACACGTCTGATCACCTAGGTAGTTAAATACCAAAAATACAAGTGTACAAAAATCAACTAGGAAAATTTAAAGGCATAGAATCGACAGATGATTACCTTAAGAAACTAATATTAAAACTTAATTATGATCTGTAGGATATTAAAAAAACAGTGTGCTGTAATGCAAGAGTGTTGAGCATGAGTGCCAGGCACATAATAAACATTTAGTATAGGATATTTTCCAGAATGCCGTTAATTTGCTTCTCCGGCATACATTTGGTCAAGCCGCTTATCTGCTCAAAGTGTGTGTTTCTCAACTGTACCACGTGCCAGTTCCCGTGCGTGGCATTCATGCTCCACCGTGACCTGCCTCCCTGCAACCCACCTTTCTTTTCCTAGCCTGAATCGGTTTCTCCCTCCCTATCCTTCTTCGAGGTGTTGCTTTAGTTCAAGGCAATATGCTTTCCTCTGTCTCCAGGGCCCAGTTTAGATGCGATTATGAAACCCTTCCTGAGCCTGGCGGTTCCCTGCACCCTGCTTTTGTCTTGGGCTGTCTTTATTATCACACTTACCAGATTCTCTTGATATCATACTTGTATACATATTTCACTTCCCCACTAATTTTTAAGTTCCTTAAGGAAAGATACCTGGTCTTCACTTCTGTAGCTTCCATATACCTGGGAAAGAACCCAGGTGTTTTTTAATTAAAAAAGACTTTAAGAAGCAAGTTGAATGACAGGCGAGAACTAGTATGTCAAGAGTAGGCATCACATCCACTACAGCTTGGGGAAATTTTACGTTGTGGTATAAACCTGCTGTGGCTTTTAATTCTAAAGAGTTAGTAAAGAATGAATCAGTCCTCTCTATTTGGGCAAACAGTGACATGCCTTCTGTAGAGCACCTTGAGTTTTTCCTCTGCACTCAGGCACGCCGGTTTCTATCTGGAAGGAACCACCATCAGGATGGAAGGCCACCTTGCTTCCTCTCCTCTTTATAGTCTCTATACTGTCCCCTCCTTGCTCCTATCTGTGCATTTCCTTTTACTCATATTCTTGGTTAAGACAAAATCAAGTTCAGCCAGTCAGTTTATTTTACAGATGAGTTCAAATTAGCACAAGCGAGTGCAAATAATACGGTGACTTGATGCAAAGTTTTGGCGAGGGACACTTAAAAAGTTTCACAAAGGATCCCTTAATTTGTATGACAGTGCCTGGGTCAGTTGGCTAGGGCTGCCCTAACAAAATACCACAGTCTGGACCTTAAATAACAGACATTTATTTCCCCACAGTTCTAGAGGCTGGAAGTGCCAGATCAATGTGTTAATCAGGATTGCTTTTTGCCGAGGCCTCTCTCTCCGTGGCTTCCAGTCCGCTGCCTTCTCCCTCTGTCTCTCCTCTGTGCATATGCCTGTTGGTGTCCTAATCTCCTCTTCTTCTGCATTAGGACCCACCCTAAATGACCTTGTTTAACCTGATTACCTTCTTAAATGCCCCATCTCCAAATACCATCAGGTATTGGGGGTTAGGGCTTCAACATATAAATTTGGGGGGAACACAGTTGAGTTCATAACAGTGCTACATAAACATCGGTAGTTGGGTCAGTCTTAAAAATCCCTAAAGATCATAAGTATTGTCATTTTAAGGATACTTTCAGTGATTCTCCGTCACTGGAAAAATTGAGAGCTAAGAACTATGTTATTGATCGAGTTTTTCATTTTAAAAAATGAAAGCGTTTTTAACTCTCGACAAAACTAAATGTTCATGTATTTTCCTGTACCATGTAGCATGCAGTTTTTATTTCAATTGTGTTGAAACCTAGGAGAGCTTTTAGTTAAATGTTTATTAGATGCTAATATTTGAATGTATTAAATATAGTTTAATTCCTAAAATGTAATTTTATTCTGGGGAGTAAAGTTACCTTTTTGATGACTGGCCATTTGATATTTTAATAGTAAATATTTTCCCTCCCTTTTTCTTTTTTTTTTTTTAATGTGACAGCATGGAGGGATCTATGTAAAGCGAAGTGCCAAATTTAATGAAAAGGACATGAGAAACAAGCTGCAGAGCTACATGAACGCAGGAACTCCAGTAAGATCGTGCTCCTTTTTATTATTTTCCTTATCAATTCCCAGTTTTTAAGAACTAAATTAGAACTTAAGAATTGTGTTGAAAATGTATTATTCCATGAATAAATAATTGAGAGTTGAGGCAGTAAAAACCGTCTACGTAGAGGTGAGCGGCTGTTTTCGGCCATCAGGAAGAGGCCGCAGACTCTTCAGTCCTTTGCTGGTGGTAAGGACCTCCAGATGAGCACAAGAACGGTGGGTGACTGTGGTTTGTGAATGGAAGTCCATACCACACCTGCGACCTTGCACTTCAGCTACTAATTGCTCATCTTCAGGATCACATATAGTTTCAAAAGAAACAAATTTTCTTTGTGTCAGTATAAATTTGGATTGCTTGTATACATTCAGTTATTTGAAAAGTCAAGAAAAGTATGAATATCTGCAAATGAAGAATCATTCAGTATAAGTGTTGTTTCATAAAACTTTGTTCCCTAAAAAAGGAATCTCAGGATCCTCTTCGAAGGATGCTAACTGCTGCCCAGGGGCTTTCCCCCCGGCCCCCTGTGAGGGCAGAGCACCCTGATCACAGCGACCGCTTGAGCTTTGGTCACCAGCGCGCAGGAACTTAGCTCACGGCCACAAGTTTTGTTTTTTTTCCTCCCTCATCCTCAATCTCCTCCTCCTCCCTCTTGTTTTCTCTCTGCCTTCCTTGCTCTTTTCCTCTCCTCGCCAGGGCTCATAGGTAGCAGCCAGAACTCATATTGAAAGATGAGTTTTCCACAGTCAGCTGATGAAGTGCTCCAACGTTCAAGACTTTTGCTTATGAACCTTGTCTAGTCGTTCTGACATTGTGAAACCGTGTTCTGTTTGGCATGACCTGGCGTAGAATGTAGTGCCCCTTCGTCCTGTTACTACTCACCCTTGAGAACAAAGTGTAGCCTTTTGAAAGGTCTGTTTACTCTGAAAAATTTGGCTTACTGGGCAGAATGGGGGCCGTTGTTTATAGATCTCCGTAAGACAGAAGAGATTGGCAATATGTATATTTACTGTCTTTTCAAAAAATAATTTAAAATTTCAGCACTGACTTACACATTAAAGAGTCCACCCCGCTTCTCCCCGCTAGCTATGCGTCATCCCAGGCAGGGGAGCTGCCGTGAGGTCTCCTGGGTATTCTGTAGACATTGTGCCAAACAGATGCATTCAGTCCCCTCTTTCCATGATTTCGGTGTTCTGTACGCAGTTTCCCCTCGCTTCTCTGTTATGTCTTTTTCTCTCTGGCTCCCCCTCCCTCCTCCTCAGTGTTACATGTTTTTTTCTCTCTGGCTGCCTTCATGAGTTTCTCTTTGTTTTTGGTTTGCAGCAGTTTAAGTATTATACATCTTAGTGTGCTCTTTTTCTTTTGCCTCCCTCTTTATCCTGCTTGGTCTTCTCTGAACTTGGACTTTTGGTTTCATGTCTGTCATTAATTTTGGACCATCCCTTGCTCTTATTTCTTTAAATGTTATTCCTACCCTGTTCTCTCTTCTCCAATTACATGTCTTTGGGGCTATTTGTTCCACAGTCTTTTTCTGCTTTTTGTTTTGTTTTTTTCACTCTCTTTTTTCCCTGTTGTCTTACAGTGTAGGTAATATCCACTGACCTATTTTCCTGTTCACTGATTGTTCCTTTGGCTTTGCCTAGTCTGCTGGTGGTGCCAGGTAGAGGCATTCTCCATCTCTGTTCCTGTTTTTCATTCCCGGTATTTCCCTTTGATTCTGTCTCACAGTTTCCATGTCTGTGCTAAACGTATCCATCTGATCATGAGGATTGCCCACCTTTTCTACTAGAACGTTTACTGTGTTGCTAGTAGTTGTTTGAAATTCCCCATCTGGTAATTACAACATCTCTGATTCTGAAATTTTTGATTGCTTTGTCTCTTCAGACTGCTTCATCTTGCCTTTTTTATACCTGCTACGATTTTGTTGCAAGTTGGGCCTCTTGAGTAGGACAGTGGAGACTGAAGTAGTTTTGATGCCTGAGAATGGCTACGCTTGTCTTTTTGTGAGGCCTTCAGTGAGGGCTTGAGTCAGTTGAGTCAGGAGTTGTACCGGATTTGGGTTTTACTGTTGCAATAATTTTTCTCACAGACTTCAAATTACTGTAGCATTCTTTACTTTGTGTATAGGGTGGGAGATGTTTTGCTAGAGAGTTTTTGTCAATGCCTGTTCCACACTGAGTTTTTTGCACTACACTTAGAGTCTCCTTTTTGCACCTCCCCCAACGGCGTCCTCTGGTACTTGTTACTGAAATCTTGTTAGTTTGGTGAGGAGGGGAGGGGGGAGGCAGAGAGGGAAGGCATGGTTTGTTGTCTAAGTCTCAGGAAGGGTCTTGGGGTGGAGGCTTCTCCCCGCTTCTCTCCTGCCTTGCTCCCAGCTCTAAATCTGTGCCCAGGATGTATTCTTGCTCATCCCCTGCAGAAAGTTTTAACCTTCTGTTCATTTCCCCCCAGCTGCGTTGGATTTTCATCAACTTGAGGGTTTAAGAATGTTGTTCCACAGGAAAGATAGAGGGGAAGGATCTCTGCTGGGCTTTGTGCCTTCCCAGCACTGGCTCTGTTGTCCCCCAAGCCTGCACCACCATCATCATCGTCATGAGGATGAGTTTGCAAGACATTGCCCTGGCTCAGCCTTTTTTTCTTTTTCTACTTCTCTTTTTCTTCTTTTTGGTTTGCATGTATATGTGGGTGTGTGTATTTGTATGTTTGTACAAAGTTGTGGTAAATTATCCTGTGTCTGTAGCCCCCAGGAGTTCTTCTGTTGAACTAGCCCATACTCAGCCTTTTGCAGCTTGTTAAAATTTTAATTAAATCTTGTTATTGCCATCTGTTGGCATTTGCCCCAGGTAAATGTGTGCATGAATCTCCTCTCCTCTGAATTGCCTTCTTTCCTTAGATGTTCAGGTGAGTTGTTGCCATGCAGCCTTAACTCTGAAGGGTTCAGTTTGTTGTTTTCCCAGTTACTCTTGTAATATTCTTTGTCCTAAGTGGAAGCCTCCCTCCTGTTTTTTTGTTAATGTGTTGTAAAACTTGGAATGATTTCAGATTTACAAAAACATTGCATGGATAGTCCAGAGTTTCCCATTTAATCTTCACCTACTTTTAATGTTAACATTTAATATTAACATCTTTAGAAACCATGGTACACTTGTCAAAACTAAGAAAGAAACGGTGTCATACTATTAATTGACCTACAGACTATTCAGATCTCTCAAGTTTTTCTACTAATGTCCTTTGTGTTTCAAGATGCAATCCACTGTACCACAAATCCATTTAATACCTGTGTTTTAAATTTATTGTGTTTTTCATGGTATGCTGTACTGTATGGTTATTATCAAATCTGTTATTTTTGTTTTAATCTTCAAACTTTGTTTCTTTAAATATTGAAGGCATCATTTAAAAGATGTATTAAGTAAATATGTATTTAGTGATCTCAGTATGTGAAGCCCTGCCGTTTTCTGCCAATTCTTGCTCATGGTACTTTCTTTCCTTATGTGCTTGGTTATCTTTATTTGCTCCCGATTCTATTTGGAAAATTATCTGTAGAAATCAACTCGAAGAGTAGAAAGTGCCTTCCTCCAGAGAATATTTGCATTTGTTTAGCTGGGCCCCTTAAAGCTTCTTCAGCGTGAGCCCACCCAACGGAATTCTGAACTTGAGGTTAACTAGACCAAAGTTGCAAATCCATGTGAGACTGATTGACTTCTGGTTTACTTTTGCTCTAAGAGTATAGCCTTTGGTGTTCCTTTTACGTCTTTTCACTTTTTTTTTTTTTCGTTTTTTTGAGAGAGAGATTGAGAGAGAGCACAAGCAGGGGGAGCGGCAGGCAGAAGGAGAGGGAGAAGCAGGCTTCCCGCTGAGCGAGGATCCCGATGCGGGGCTCAATCTAGGACCTTGGGATCATGACCTGAGCCGAGGGCTTGCGCTTAACCGACTGAGCCACCCAGGCGTCCCAACTTCTTTTCACTCTTAATAGAAGGTCCACGGGCTTTGATTTTTATCTTTCAGCTCTTTGATAATTTTTAAATGACGTTATATCCAGCTTTTTAAATTTTCATTAGGAAGGCTTGTTCAAATAACGTAGTCTTTTACTTTGGGCTACCAGAGAACTTTCTGTTTTTCAAGGGCAGAACTGTAGCTTTTGGATGTTCATGCAACAGTGCTGAATTACAGACTGGCAGTGCCATGAGTGGTTGTCACTTTGAGGCCAAATCAGATGTGGGTTCATTTCTCAGGTCTGCCATTTAAACTTTGTTACTTTGCACAAGTCACTTAACTTTTCTAAGCTTGTTTTCTTTATATGTTAAACCTATTAATAATTCACTTGGTAGCTAGGATTAAATAACATGTTTGAAAGTTATGCTTCTTGTAGTAGCTTCTGATCACGCTGTAACAGATTACCACAAACTCACCAACCGCAAAAGTACAGGCAGCAGAAGCAAAAATAAGTAGGACTACACCAAACTAAAACGTTTCTGCACAGCAAAGGAAGTAATTGACAAAAATGAAAAAACAACCTGCAGAAAGGGAGAAAATATTTGCAAACGACATATCCAAGGCTAATTTTCAAGATTAACATGCAGTCCACCAGCAAAAAAAAAACCAAATAGCCCAATTTAAGCAACGGGCAAAGGACTTAAAAGACATTTCTCCAAAGACGACCTACAGTTAAATGGCCAACAGGTATATGAAAAGGTGCTCAGCCTCACTTGTCATCAGGGAAATGCCGGTCACAGCTGTAATGAGATTAATATCTGACACCTGTTACAATGACTGTTAAAATAGTTTTCAAAAGTTAAGGATTGGTTGAGGATTTAGAGAAAAGAGAATGCTTAGACATTTTCGGCGGTAATATAAATTGGTACAGCCATTACAAAAAATGGAATGGAGTTTCCTCAGAAGATTAAAAATAGAGATATTATATCCAGCAATTCCACTTCTGGGTATATATTCAAAAGAAATAGGATTATTTCCCGCAGTCCTATTCA